AATTCAGAGGTTGATCTGAAACTAATTTCAGTAACCACATAAACAACACAAAACTCGAAAATGTAGAGTAAAAGGATATGAAAATCCGAAAGTTAGTAATATCCATACGGAAGCTGAACTAATCTCACAGCGAATCGAAACATCCAACAATCTCTATACATGGAGACATAGAAACTGTTTAATTTATACTGAAACTCAGGCCCAGATCATAAAAAAAAAACACGAATTTGACCAATTGGATCGAAGCAAGAGATCGAATTTCAATAAAGTAAACAAATCGGATCAATCGATCAAGCATAACAACATCAAACCAGCGTGGAAAACACCAAAAAGCAAGCAAAATTTCGAGATCTATCGATGAAGCTACCGATTCAATAAAATAAACAGACCAGAAAGACGAATCTGAGGCCGATCTTCAACGGAGAAGGAGAAAAAACCATACCTTTGCGTGAGAATCAGACTCCAATAGTGAGATTGCTCTTCGTTCTCTGGAGTTAGAAATTCTCTCTCTCTCTTTTTTTGTTCATTTTAAACGGCTATCGTTTTTTTTAAGAGATTTAAAAGTCAATAATTTTGTTTTACGCCCAAATGTTACGGACATTTATGATAATAACCCCTCATGTTTATTCTTTTATCAATAGGACCCATCTCATGTAGGAAATGAGACAACAAAAAGACAAAACACACACCAAAACATTTTATACTAATAAATCATATACATTACATTATTTTTTTAGTTTAAAATAATAAATCAATCATTATTTATCAAATGACTATCATAACCATATGATTTAGGGCTCTATAATATTGTTTAACGAGTTAAATATTGATATATTTATTTACGGAAACATTTTAATGAATCCTTAGTATTTTCTTAAGTAAAATCATAAGCTAAATTGCATCGCAAACTTTTTTTGTAGTGTCCTCATTTTGTGATAAATCTTACCTGACCATTTTGCAATTTTTCCTTTTGTTTTATCGACTTTCTGGAAAACAATTCATTACAATTAGTTTCACTTTGTTTAGTTTAGAAATTTGAATATATTCTACACCAATCTTTTTAATCTTGTATCATCCGCGCATATTTGAATCATTTATTTTATCAGATTAAAAAAAAAAAAGATGAAAGATTCACAAATTACATAACAAACACTAAGGAGAAAGAGTTGATAAGAGTGATTCGTATGTTATATAAACTTTATAATATAAAGAAGTGAACATTCAGATAGAAGAAACCGACATTTATTCTGTTTCTTTGGCGGGTAAAAAGAAAGGTTTTAGAATCCGAAGAGGAGAAAGTTAAAACGGAAGAAATTTCCGGCAAAGAAGATCCTGTTCGTTGATACTGGCGATAACTATGATTGCGATCAAGAAGCTTTCATGTCGTCCATACCGACGCTAGCCTGCGAAAAATACACAAAGAACAAAAGAATCAGACCAAACTGTGATGAAATAACTGAAAGAAACTGTGATGATTTAAAAGTCTTCGTTTACCAGAAACTTATGATTATCTTGAAGAAGCGGACCAAACTCGGCGCAAAACCTTTCCATGTCAGCGTAGATGTCACCAGAACCAGATATGACATCCATGAACCTCTTCCTGTCTGGAGCCAGCTTTAAAGCCATCTGATTAAAAAAAAGTTTACGGTTTATGAGATTGGTTTTGCAGAAGATGTTGATCGAATAGTGAAAGGATATAAAGGCGCGAGTAACTACATACAGTGAAGCTAGAGCTAGCGAGCCATCCATGCCATTTCTTGAGTGTTTTTTGGTATGAGTCACCACAAGCTTGTGACATTGACCAGTCTTGATGTGCTACCAAGTTACGGAACAGCTCCACTAAGAAATCCATTGCTCTGTAGGAATCAATCATAATTGCTATTTTATATGTCATTTGAGAAGCAGCTCTCTTCGCAATAAAGGTATGTATCGTTTACAAGTCGATATTTTTTTACCTGGTCAACCAGAGAAGACCATTGGTACAACTAGACGATCCTTTTGCTGTCTTAGACTCAATTTCGACTTGTACAAAGGTGTACAAGTACTTGAACTTGTCGGGATCAGACAAGTAGTTCTTCTCCAACCTCTACACAAAATACGCGACAAATAATTTAATATCGCAAGACAATAGTCCAATGTCATGTCGCTAGTACGGTGCGCTTTCACTGGCCTATTGTCCACTATCAGAGGTACACACTACTATGTAAGAAGAGCAAGAACAGGGCCAGGCAGTGCAATCTTCGACTATCAAAATTGTTGGAGTTAGAAGAAAGTTTACCGATATGTTGCCACCAATGTCAGATTTCACGAGAGTCATAGCAGCTCCAAACTTATCTGGGAAGGAAATACCAAAGAAAATGAAAAGTCATAAAACAGGAAACACAACATTTGTATGAGTCCTACATTTTATAAGAACAACGGTAAACCACAAGATATACAAAAGAGCTTATAGTACACAATCAACAATCACAAAAAGGGTGTCAAAACTACACTCAAAAGTATTTAGACAGACGAATTGTTACCAATAACAGGCAAGATCGTCTTGCAGAGCTCAAGAAACGGCTTAGTAAGCATCTCGCCATGTTCAGTTTTGACATGCTTCATTCCTTCCAAACAAGGCGTGAACACAGTCCCTTCCATCTTCAACTTTGACTAACTGAAAATGCAAACAAAAACGCAATGAACAAAAGAAGAGAAAACCCGATATTACATTTCGCTGTTTGGAAACGAACACACATCCACATTACTCAATGAACAATGGATGATTAGTGACCATCACCTTCCTCAAACTTAACACTGAGGATAATCAACACTATACAAACCCAAAAAAAATCAAAACTCATAAATAATTCAGAGGTTGATCTGAAACTAATTTCAGTAACCACATATACAACACAAAACTCAAAAATGTAGAGTAAAAGGTTATGAATATGAAACCAAAATCCGATACGTTAGTAAAATCCATACGGAAGCTGATCTAATCCTACAGCGAATCGAAACATCCAACAATCTCTATACATGTAGACATAGAAACTGATTAAATCAGCTCCATTACACAGAAACTCAAACCGAGAATTAGACCCAGATCATAAAAAACACGAATTTCACCAATCGGATCGAAGCAGAGATCTAATTTCGACAAAGTAAACAAATCGGATCCATCGATCAAGCATAACATCAAACCAGCGTGAGAAGACACCAAAAAGCAAGAAATTTTTCGAGATCTATCGATGAAGCTACCGATTCAATGACATAAACAGATGAGGAAGACGAATCTGAGGCCGATCTTCAACGGAGAAGAAGAAAAAATCAAACCTTTGCGTGAGAATCAGATTCCAATAGTGAGATTGCTCTTCGTTCTCTGGAGTTAGAAATTCTCTCTTTTTTTTGTTCTTCTTTTTAAACGGCTATCGTTTTTTTTTTAGATATTAAAAGTCAATAATTTTATTTTACGCCCAAATGTTACGGACATTTATGATAATAACCCCTAATGTTTATTCTTAATCAATTGGACCCATCTCATGTGGAAAATGCGTAAAAAAAACACATTTTATTGAATTTGGAACCAAATGTTGCAATTAGTAGTTTTTTTTTTCCCCAGACATTGTTGCAGAAGAGGCTATTGATATTGGTGGATACATCATAAATAATCAGTCACTACAAAGATCTCAAAAAGCTGTATAAAGTAGATGATCTCTGACTTGCAAAGCCTTCAGGATACTGTCTTCTTGTTCTTGAAGGGAGACAGTATCGAAAAATGGCGAGAAGCTGAAAAAAATGATGAAGAAATGAACAAAAAGGTGAGAAACTCTTTAGACTCTTTATCTGTCCAGAACCAGAGACTTCACTTAAAAGATTTTATGATTGATCAAAGTAAAAAGGGAATGAAAAATTTCATATCTACTGAACAAAAAAAAGGTTTTCTTTTACTTACATTTCTGTGAAGCTGCTGCTGCTGTAGGTGTTTCATCTTGAGATATGAGATTCTTCAGTGTAAAAGCTGAATAACAAAACAGAAACCAAAACTCCCCAGAGTTACATTCAAACTTCTCGTATTCAACATCAGTAGAACCATATTTGGTGTGAAATGTGAAATAAAACTCATTCATCTTGAAAATTTACATTTGTTTCAGTAGTAATTACTTAAAAGATATAAGGAAGAAGTTTGTACCTTCACTTGTCGAGGCAGCGGTTACAGCTGGGTCATGGTCCTCGTTGCTATTGACAGCTGCATTATTAGACTCGGTATGGTGTTCACTTGTCGACGAAGTCTGACTCTTTTTTCCAAATTTCAGTAATTTTCTGAGCCCTTTTGACGCTGGATCCTTCGTTTGAGATTTCTCTGAAGCCTCACTAATCTTCTTCTCTGGTACAAGGACTTTGACAGTTTCTTGCTCAGTCTCATTTGAATGTACGCTTGGTGGAGGTGCTTGGGAATGCTCTGAGTACACTGAACATGGATCTTCTAATGAAGAAACCCGAGCATACGTAGCTTCATATGGTTTCTCAACAACACTATGACTTGTCAGAAACTTTGGTGTTTCTGTTACTAAGTCACTCAGAGTCTCCAATCTAACCTGAAAGCAAAATAACCATTTTTCGGTCATCAAAACCGTTATAAGCAGAAAACAAAACTAATCTAGCTAGAATAAGAGTGCTTACTAGGACTAGATCATTGCCACTCTCATGCATTGTGTCAATGCCTTCCTTATCAACTCCTTCAGAAGGAATAGACACTACACCGGACTTATCGTGTTTTATCTGATCTCTGCTTATACTTCCAGCTGAACTTGGCAACACCATCACCACAGTCTTCTCAATCACTGGAGTTTCATCAGCATCCTTCTGGCACAATGATTTGTCCTTGTTACCACTTGTTTCAGCCTCAGAAGCTGAAGACTTAATTTTCTCGACACCTTTCACCAGAACATTAGTAGGACCTTTGGGTGGTTTTATCTTCAGTTCCGGAAGAGATGCAATTTTGGCTATATCATAGTGAACAATGGCAGATATTTTCTTTACCTCAGGAACATCAGATACTTTTTTGGATGCTATTGTGCGCTGTGACCTCACTGAAGAACTTGGTGCACTTTTATTACCCATTTTGGGTTCTGATAATCGTCTCGTCTTTGAAACCGACTTGTTCTGAGTATCTAGACTAACTCTGCTTTCTCTCTTAGAGAGAGGTAAAGGTGACGTCGACCTTGTTACCCTATTTCCTGTTGCTATGCTTTCTCTCTTAGAAGGAAGTAATGGTGATATTGACCTTGTAAGCCTGTTTACTGTTGACTTACTCAGTTTACCGTTCTTAGGGAATTTCTGAGAGTCTAAAGAAGCAGATCTTACGGGAAGACGTTGAAGAGGTGATAATGATCCTGGTTCTGAGTCACTAAACTTAGAGCTTCTAAGAGCGCCAGGAGAAAACTTGTTTAGTATTGGTTTTCTTGTTTGTTGTGCAGACAACTGTGACTGTCCTACGGCTGATTTGCTTTTCGAAGCAATCCTCTTTTGCCTTTCTATTTTCAGAGCTTCGATGCGCTTCCTCTGTTCCTCTTCCTAGAAATAAGAAAGAATGATAATAAGAGTGTGAGAGATGATGCAAAGCTTCAACCACAAGTTGGCTATAACCATTGAGATTGTGCTTTGTAGATATGGTTAGTGAACAAGAAGGAATTATCCCAACAGAGTGTTTGAAGTTCAGATTTTACCTTTTCCTTTTTCATTTTCATGAGATCAGCTTTGAAACTCCTAAGCTTATCAGCACGTGCTCTAGCTTCATCTAAAGGGCTCATCTTTGTGGGTCTTCCTTTCCGTATTGGCCCTGAAGCCTTCCTCTTATCTGCAGCATCATTAGAAAGTCTTGATTTTGGATCTTTCAATGACTTCTTAGCACCTCCACTTGCTTGATTATTCTTCTTCAAAGCTTTGGTTCCGAAATCTAGTGCAGGATCATATCCAGCTGATAACTTCTTTGTTTCCCGTTCTGGCATCAGGCTCAGATCATGAGGCTCATAATTGACTTTCTTTCTTTCATTTCCATCAGTTTGGTGGCGCAAAGATATCTCTGATCCCATGTCTATAGCATTACGTTTATTGCGCCCAGCTTCATCCAGCGTTGCAGACTGACGAATATAAGAATCATCATCCATGTTAATTGATGATCTCTTGTCCAGACCATTCCTTGGATTATCAAACCCATTCAAGTTAAGAGTATCAGAACAATTCTCAAAACCATTTTCTCTCTGGTTAACCATAAAAGAGTCACTAGATCCCCTGTTTCTACGAGTCACAGTTCCATTCCGAATGTCGGTTGTATCCCTTTCTTGATATTTTCCTGCTTCACGTTCATCATAAGCCAAAGGATCATAATTCCCTGCACCTTGCCTCTTTTTCCCTGAAATCTCTTGTTCCATCGTATGGTCAACGGTACGTTCATCTCTATCGGCATCTTGCAATAAATAAGTCTGAAAGGCCTGCCAGTTTCCAGTGTCAGCCTCAGTCTTTTCTGTTGCTCTCTCTTTACCATTGTCACAATCTCCTCTTGCCCCTTCTTCATGACTGTCATCAGCATCAGATTCTGTTCCAGAATGATCTTGCTTTTTTGATTTAATGTAATTTATATTCCGAATCACCACCTTCCCCGACTTCCTTCTTCTACCTGATTTTCCTTTCCCTCTGTCCTGATCTTCTGATTCGGAGTCCTCGCTACAAGATGAATGATGTTTCTGAGCCTTTCTCTGGCCAGAACTACGTCTAGAATCATCGGTAGATGGATAGGGAGATTGATACGGACTAGCTCCTGGATAGCCCGGGTAGTACGGCACGCCTTGCATTGTGTATCCTTGGAAGACAGGAAAGGTACCTGGTGGAGAATGAACTGGCCAGGGTGCATACATCGGCTGCGGATGCTGTCCTTGCACATATTCTTGATTTACATTTGGTTTATTATCTGGAGGAGACTTGACATCTAGATACAAGAAGAATATTGTGATACATATCGACTATGTGAAAGCAATGCCGAACAAGGCAAGAAAACATATTCAAGTTATGGATCATCTTACCACTATTTTCGGGAGTCCCGGGCAATGAGTCCCTTCGCATATGAGCAAACATGATTCCTGAATCATTCATTGCAGAGAGGTTTGGATTTGTTGCCATTACTTCTGCTGCTTCGATTTCAACCCACTGGCCAGTTTCATGCTTTTTCTTCCACAATTCCATGAATTTTATACAAGCATCCCTGTAACATTAATGAAGCAAAACATAAGATAACTTAGTCTACACTATCAACTCCACAAAGAATCTTTAAAACTCAAAGACTTAGATGGATATGAGCTTGTTGGTTAAGAAACAATGGAAGAAATAGGTGGAAAAAAAAAATGATCTTCTCACATCAAACGTGAGGCTCCAAAAGTTTTGGCAAAAGATATTAAAGGAAGCATATCATCAGCCTCAAAACCAGCTGCGGCAGCACGTGCAAATGCCATTCCTTGTTCTTTCTGCAACACTATCTTCCGTGTCTCCAGAACTTTCAGAACTTGAGCTCTGATAACAATTCCACATATTACCAATCAGATAACTACTCTCTTTCTCAAACACATAAAAGTATGGAAAATCTTTCATGCAAAGGGGTATACTTAGAGTTCTCGTCTGATGCAGCAGCACCATTTGCTTGCTTCGGATGTGAATCAGGCTGTCAAAGATGCAAGAGTATGGAATTAATTGCCTGTTACATAGAGGAAAAGATGAGATGGAAACTCTTTCGTTTCTAAGTAACCTCGTAAAGGACAATAGCTTTCTCCTCGTTGAGCTGTAACAAAGGCCTGCTACCTGATTCACATTCTCACATATTGGTTAAATCGAAGCATGATATGTTTTCTTTGCTAAAAGCTATAGCATAGAGACTCATAAATTACAAAATCTTTGTGATTGACATCTACAAAACTTCGGCATCATTTTAGCATACCTTCCATACTTTCTGTTCTTTTTGCTCGTAATTCGTCGTCCACCTATTTATACACTAAGTCATTAGATTCTATTGACTACACACCAAACAAAGTATTTAAAAATCCGAGTTTACTTACAACAGTCAAGGCAATTTCACAGTTGTTCTGGATTCCAATTGCTTCCTTGATCTGTATGATCTCAGTTTCTAAAGTGTAAACACGCTCTAGGACTTCCGGATTGCTCACAAATCGAACAAACCTATAAACAAAAGACTCACAATTTCACAGCTCCAATCGAAAACCGACAAAAATATTGCCAAATCCAAATTCATATGATAAAAAAAAAACCTTTCAATTGTTCCTTTAGTGAACCAAGCTGCATTGTCGCTACCCTCAGGCTTAAGAATAATAGAGTATCCACCTTTTGCTACTTGTTCTTGTGCAGTCTTCAAGTGAGCAAGAAAAGGATCAAGCAACCCTGTTGCTATTTTCTCAGTCTTTCCATTAACTGTTACCAACAGATCACACCTGAAATCAAACAACATTCAAAAGAGACACACTTTAAATCTTCCCTTGTCAATTTGGTAATAATCAACCTAAAAAGAGGGATCAAAGAACCCAAAAACAAACAAAAAAATTCAGTCTTTCGACTTTTCTTAGAAACAATTTCTCAAAAGCTTATGACTTTACGATTTCTACAGAAATTTTCAACATCGTAACTAAACATTTAGATCAAATTAGGATGATTAAAGAGAGTATTTTTATTACCGGGTTCGAGTGGGAGTGAGCTGAAAAACAACTGAGTCAAGCCGAGTCGAAGATTTCATTGCTCAATTATCAAAGATCTCAAAACTTCAGATTTAGCAAAATCAATCCGAAATAAACACACAACACAAATTGCAGAAAATCCAAATAAATAGGGCAGAGAGAGAGCTTGTCTCCAGCTGGAAGAGTGAGAGTAGTAATCAGCGAATTTTCCGAGGAAATGTGGGGACGAAAAATGTAAAACCAGTAATAATTCAGGGGCAAAATGGGAAATTCGGAGATGATCACTAGTGTGAGTAGCATCTACTTTACTGTTCACTACACGACAAAGTATAATACTATGTCATCTGCTCGATAGTAACATTTAACGGTAATATTTGGTTATTATTAACTATTCTTTAATACAAATTTATGTATATGGTTTTATGGTAATATATTGACTTAAGATTTCGATATTTTGACTATACGTCTGTTGTATTCGTTGTATAATTGCTAACTTAAATATTAATTTATAAATTAAGAAAGAAATAGCAACAATCAATATATTACGGCGTAATTCTAATTATATCGACTAGCTAGGCTTTAATTATTTATATATTCGTTCTCTTAAAATACAATCATTATTAGCCATTGGTTATAGATCAGAAGAATCAAATAACCCTAACTATCTTCAATTTGAGGGTGTCTATTCGTCAAAAGTTTCAGATTGATTCAAACTAAAGTTAATTTTTAACAAACAATTTTTAATGGATTTTCAGTCAAGTTGTAAGTTGTAACCGGTGATAACGACCGTATGATGTTGTTCTATTTCTTGTAGTGAATGATGATCGTATATAGAGAAAGTATTAGAGATTTAAAATGTACTAACTACGAATGCCACATTTTGATAGATAATGGACTCTTTTGCTAACATCAACCGTAGTTTCCACATATGTTTCTCTATCAATATAATTGTAAAACGGATTAGTACGTTCAGTATGTTTTTTTTTTTTTTTAATCTTTGTAGAAAGAAAAATATGATGTAAGTATCTTGTTCAGAAATCAGAATCATGCGCTATTATTGTGGGAGTTGTAAATAAACCTCATTAAATGAGTCATTTACTAGTACTTTAGGGTTTGATCAAGACATACATAATAGGTTTTTAAAAATGTTAAAAGAACATATATCGAAAGATCAAATTCGACGTAAATATGGTAATTAGCTGGAGAAGGCAAACACTATTTAACAATTACACATAATTTTTTTTTAGGAAACAAAATTAGTATGTAAGTACGTTGTACGGAACCAGGCACTAAACCAATTTGTGGGAGTTGTAAACCTCACTAAACGAGTCATTTATTAATTAATACTTTAGGGTCTGATCGACCAAGACATAATAGGGTTCAAAAAAATGTTAAAAAGAACATATATTATCGAAGCGAGATCAAATTCGACCTTAATATGGTAATTTTTTTTTTTTTTGGGAAGCTTTGCCTTAATATGGTAATTAGCTGGAGAAGACAAACACTATCTAACAGTTATATTATGGTACGGTTAACCATTCATGATAAATTTTGTGATTTAAAATGAGTGAAGAATACTTTGATTTAATTAGAAAGTATAAGACCAAGTTTAAAACCTACAATACATGCAAAATTAGGTAAAGTTTGATGCCGTAACTTATTTTTATAGACGTCTTCCTAATTTATGCATCTTATATTATCGTTAAAATAGATTTAGAGACATTTTCTGTATATACATTTTATATTTTGGGTTTATTAACCAATCTTCTAAAAACGAATTTTATTTTTGGGCCTTTTTCGAAAATGCAATTCAACGTGGGATGATATTCCGGCTTTCAACTATATATATATGTCTTATGTTATTGTTAACCGGTTAGATATCTTCTAGACCCACTAATAGAATCTTAGTTACTAACTTCGCCAAATTTGGCTATCATAGTCTACAAAAGTTATTAGTCTTTCCGTATATAAAAGTGTTTATCTTTTGAGCTTGTTATATCCATAAAAATGAACTTTATTTCTCTTTTTTCATTTGAGATAAAGAGTTTGAAAAAACAATTACATCTTTTGAGTGATGCAAAATAAGTATAAAGCACATTTAAAACTACAAAACATGCAAAATTAGGTAAAGTTTTATGCTCTAATTTATTTTTTTATTCTAGGAAGAGATATCTTACTAATTTATACACCTTATATTATCGTATAAACAAGTTTTAGAGACATTTTTCGGATATGCATTATATATTTTGGGCTTATTAACCAATCTTTCCAAAACGAGTTTCATTGTTGGGCTTTTTTGTGAATACATCTCATCGTGGAAAGAGATATCTTATTAATTTATGCATCTTATATTATCATTTAAATAGGTTTTAGAGATATTTTCCGGATATGCATTTTATATTTTGGACTTATTAACCAATCTTTCCAAACGAGCTTCATTGTTGGGCTTTTTTCGTAAATACATCTTATCGTGGGAAAAGATATTTTACTAATTTATACATTTTATATTATCGTTTAAACAAGTTTTTGAGACATTTTAAAGATATGCATTTTATATTTTGGGCTTATTAACCAATCTTTCTAGAACGAGCTTCATTGTTGGGCTTTTTCGTAAATACATGTCATCGTGGAAAGAGATATCTTACTAATTTATGCACTTTATATTATCGTTTAAACAGGTTTTTGGATATTTTCCGGATATGCATTTTATATTTTGGGCTTTGGGCTTTTTTCGTAAATACATCTCATCGTGGAAAGAGATATCTTCTAATTTATGCACTTTATATTATCGTTTAAACATGTTTTTGAGATATTTTTTGAATATGCATTTTATAATTTGGGCTTATTAACCAATCATTCCAAAACGAGCTTCATTGTTGTGCTTTTTTCGTAAATACATCTCATCGTGGGCTGATCTTTCGACCTGTATTTGATGTTGTTGTTAACCAACCTTTTAAATATCTTCTAGACCGACTAATAGAATCTTGATTTAAGAACTTCTCCATATTTGGTATCATAGTTTACATAAGGTATTAATTTTACAATATAAAAAAGATTATTTACCTTTTAGGAGTTTTTTATACCGTAAACGGATTTTGTTTCCCTTTTTTCCATTTGAGATAAAGAGTTCAGGAAAAGATTATATCTTCTGAGTGGTAAAAAAGAAAGAGATTTCTAGTTTTGCAAAACAAATGTGTTTAGCTTCATAACTATTAAACCAAATTTTGTGCATAACACCTTCTAAAATATCTAAGCAAACAATTAATCAAATGTATTTTGAACCAAAGAAAAATACCATATATTATTAAATATCAATTCTAAAACAATGCAGAAATTGAGATAAACGGATCGAGAGATCCACAATTTTTCTTAACCTTATCTTAAAAACCCTAGTTTTAAAACAAGATTTCTTACTCATAACCAAAGATAACAAACATAGGATAATAAGATTAAAACTTTCAAAGTTTTAACTTAAGATCCATTAAATCTTCCTCTTCGTTATCTTCCATGACAGCAATCCCCGGCCACTCTCGCTCCAACTGCTGAATGAGCGGTAAAGTACGAACATCATCCTCCACTGACATTTCGGCATCCACGACATGCACTTGAGGCTGAGGCTGAGGCTGCGGCTGAAACGGCTGAAGGTTCGGTTGAAGCGGCTGCGGTTCAAATCGCGGCTGACCAATAACAAAGTTGATGTTGTTGGTATTGGTCATGGGCATGAACTGAAAAGTTGGCGTCTCAACCGCAGGAGCCGCATGATAACCCACGTTTCGGGACCTCGTTACATGATTAGGAAAATGAGTACGAGGAGGATTTTGAAACGGAGCAGGTGGGAAATTGATAGGGCTTGAGTTGAGATTGATACGGGAAAATGGCATAGAATCGCGTCTCCTCGGGAGAGAAGAAGCAACACTCATTTGATTAGCATGAAACAAATCGAGATGTGAAGCCAAAGTTTGTCCGTTTGGAAAAATTTGGTGACAAATAAGACATTGGGGAACACCATTATCTCTCACGAACGACATATTTTTTTTTTTGAACGTTGGATTATTGGTGGAAAGAAGATATAATTTGCAAAATGGTTATGAGAAGTTCATATATATATAGTAGTGAGGTTTGTGTTCAGGGGCATAACAGTAAATACAGAAAAAGAAATAAAATATCAAATTTAGACAAAAAAGATAATAAATTTTCACTAGAGGAAATTTTACTATTTCTTTTTAAATATCATATTCTGTCTGTTTCATGTTATGACTATATTTTCTTCAAAAACAACATAATTTAGTATTAATTTTAAAAAGAACTTTAAATTTTAAAAGAATTAAACCAAACTCAAATATTGAAATAAAATAAAAATAATACATGTTACTAAGCATATTTAAATTAGGTAAATTGTACAATTGGGTGGATGATTAGTTTCACCCGTTAATTAGTTAAACAAAATAGTTTCATCAACATAATGTTGTTAACTATTAAAGGAGTATAAATTATTATGGGTTATTTAATTCAAATATGTATTTATGTATGTTAACAAAGATAGTAGAAACTCT